AATCCTAGACCTAGAGCCTCGCCTTTTTTTTTTTTCGCATATATCTGCCAGCCACTGTATACTGTCTTGACCTTCCGCAAATAGGACAATACATTCAGCATATGATAGACCTGGAAGCTTCTGCTCAACCATCGCGCCAGCCTGTTTCCGTGTCATATTAAACACAATGTTGCTACTTTCTAGCGACTTTCACATCCTCACCATGTACCGCAAGAATAACAGCGGAGGCAATGACATCACTGCCTAAGCACCTTGCTGAATTCAACGCTGTCATTTCTACTTATTCTTTCTCATTGTGTGCAAACAGTATTTCAAAAGCTCTATACGGTCGTGACGTATGGTGACTTTCTTCTATATATCCCACAAATTCCCTTACTAACGTTGTCGCACGTCCTAGTGATGTCTAGATGAGGACCTGTTTTTATTTTGGATATTTATATACACTGAATAAAAGCCCACAGACTATCGTCCAACCGCATGTCGATTCGGGATCACGGTTTAGAAGTTCTCCCAAATTATCAGTTTGCTCCGTCCGCGTTTGTATTTTCATTTTAGTGGCTGCATCGCCAATCTGTATACACCGATGTAATGGTTGGCGGTCTATACGAACGAATGTTAAACTTTTCTTCCTTGCCTCTATAGATTAAGCTCAATCTACTTTTTCCGCCACTGTTTGGTATTCCCCTCTACTGTCGGCACTTTTCTACCGATTTCAGCAGTGCTTCCTTAGTTCTATGTCCTAGTTCGTTAATGAGGCGGGAACACCATCTAAGCTCGGAGTAGTGCGCTTAGAAATGATTCCTTTGGCCTTCTTCCAATTGAAATTCTCAAGTACTACCTCTTCCTCGGTCGCACTCTTTTTCATTCTTTCACTCACCGGAAAAATTCCCTGGCCGACAAGGTTTGAGCGAATCTACTGTTACCTTTTGAATGTAACCTATAGACATTCATACCCTTCCAATTGTTTTCTCCTTCATCTACCATATGGTGTTGCCTTGTGACTTCCCGCTTAGCGCGCGCTTTTAGGTGGTTCCAAAATATTCTATAGACATGGCTTTTTTCTTTTCACGAATATCTGTCATCCAGCGTTCACTCTCGCCTTTAATTTTTGGTTTGACCAAAACCTACACAATGTTTTGTTTTCTTTAAATATATTTTCCGTATATTCTTCCCTTCATCCTGTGGCTGCTTCTCCCTTTTTGCCTGTCTGCACTCCCGTGATGCCTCACGTCGCTTCTCGATCACTTTCCGGATTTCTTTGTTCCATTAACTTTTTGGCTTTCTCTTTCCGTTCAAGCAAACTGTTTTGTTCTCTTTTTCGATCTCCTTCGTCATTATATGTAACAGCTCACTACAATCCCAGTCTTTGATCGGTAGTTTTCCTACTTAGTGCTCGACTCTAGCGGCTATATTTGTTATTTGTGTGTCATTTAAGTTTGAGCTTCCTAATTTCGATTCTATGTTCTTATTTTCACTTTTATATTCCATTTGTGATGTTATGTTTATGGTCACAACCGAAGCTGCTAATGCCTTCCTCGTCTATGCTCATCTCTCGAACTTTGTAGATTCCTCTGCTATGAGACAATAATGAATGTTCGAGCGCCTGTGTCCGACTTTCACGGGATCTGCCCTTCACACTTAGGCACCGCGATAACTATCTAAGGACTAGGTTAATCGCCAAGATCTGGCAATATCTTCCCATTGGTGTCTGAATATCCATCGAGGTCATGTATGTGAGCATTCATGTCCCCTAAGAGGATTATTTCGGCCCCATGACATAATTCTTTGATATCAGTGCCTACGCAGTTGACTATTCAAAATCATTTTCCCTGCAGTTACTCTCCATCCACAATTAAGCTACACCTCCACGTTTTCTCTCCCCCTACTCTGCCCGAAACCCAGAGGTGCTCTGAACACGTTCGTTTTATTCTATATCATTTGGCTTTGCTATAGGACTAGCATTTCTTGTCCCTTCTTTTTTAGCGCACCTTACTCCCTTCTTTTTCATCTCCACTGGTTTTTACCTATACTACCTGTCAAAGAGTTCTTCTGGTTGTCTTCCTTGTTACTAGCTATCCTAAACCCCAAAGGACCCGCATGCCCCCCCCCCCCCCCCCCCTCAAAAAAAAAAAGCTACTGCACGTCCTGCAAGTCGCCAACCTACCTCATGACCTAGCCTCCTACAGAATTGATGTCTGTCTCGTCGAAAACCACTCCACCTATGCACCTCTCTGTTTATTTACACTACCTCAAGCCTTTCTCTCGACTAATCTGTCCATATCTCTTTGCTTGCGATGCAGCCTGCTCTTTGCAGGTTGCCGTCACGGATTGGTACCTCCAGGTATTGTGAATATCACTACCTGTACCTGAGGGGAAATGGCGTGCATGTCATCGACCGCTTTCGCCAACGTGGTCGCTAGTCCTGTCAATTCTTCAGTCGAAGACGTCGTTTTTTTTTTCTGCACATGGCCATTCTCTTTTTCTCGTTTACTACATGGGCAGGAGCACAAGGCAGGACATAACCCTAATCGCATGCGTACAATTGTCATATTATGTAAAGCGAAAACTTGAGTGCGCGTCAAATGGATTCAATGACCCCATGTAGCGTGACACCTATACGGCGAAGTGCGAGAACAAAAGTGAGTTGCGCCGTCTCCTGCTGTCAGCGCTCGGAACTCTGGCGTTTTGCACATTCACCCTTTGCGACAGCGCTGGGCGACGCACCCACAAATCGAAACTATTTGAATTTTTATATATTTGCACTAAATCTATGACGCCACGATTCTTGGATATCAGATATTTCGTATCTCTACCACTCTCTCCTGTGGTTTATCAACAATTAATATATAACACGCGAAAAAGGAGGGCGCAGGCTGTAGAAAGAACGGCACCGCTCCACGCGTGACATGTGAGGCTACTTTCCAGGTGCTCGCGTATTCCGTTTTCACGAAGGTGACACTGCGGCAACGTTCACTTTTGTGGACACCGCATCTTTTTTTTCTAGTTTTTTACGTGTTTGTAGAAATTATCGCTAAATGGCATATCTGCCATCGAACGGTTGACATGCATGCTGATTGTCATCCATACTTTAAGCCGATCCGCATATATCTGCGTGCATGCTGACCGTGTCGACGTACGTTATACGAGTACAATACACACGCAGCGTCCGGGTCGTGTGCTGTGCGTGCGCTCGCCGCACTCAAAGGAAAGAGCGATCAGAAAGGGTCATTGCTGTGCACGTGTTGAACAATGGGCGATTTTCAGAAAGCGATATACTACGGGTGACCTAACCAAAATTTTTCACTTCCCAGACTATTGTGAGGCACATCCTGGATCTGAACTATGCATTCTTTAGAGACAACGAACCCCAGGAGGTCAAAATTTCCGAAGCCCTTCCATTACGGCGTGTCTCATAATCATATGGTTATTTCGGGATGGTAAACCCCGCATATCGATAATCGAGACAACGAGAGTGCACTTTTTATTTTTTATTACTCTCGATTATGTCGCTTTCTTTTTGCCTACAGTGTTTTTTGTCTTTGCAAAAAGCTTTAAAAGTCCGAACAATAAGCTTACACGTGTTTGATCATTTTTCTTTATACCATTGTTTCCTTACAGGCCATCGGTGCGCATGCTCAATGAATACTCAAAAAAAAAACATGACCTCCGATAGTGCACTGGTGTTCTAGCTCGTATGCCACGTGGGAAGACAAAGAATTTGGCGACCTTAAATCTTCCCCTTTAAAAGTTGAACGCGATAGCGACACCCTTTTCCTAGTGCGTACTTCAAACACTTAGTGCATGAAACCTTTTCGAATTCGCTATGCACCCCCTACGTGGACTTGAGGGAATAGGCGCAGTAGCGTGTGTGCCTTTTGTACTGGGGTACCGGCTTTCAACCATGGAGCCATTATGATAATCATATATTCAGACGCCCTTTGGCAAGAGACGCTTGTACCAGGCATTATTATTGCAATATTTCATGTTGCATTGTGAAGCATGTATACAGGACTGCGTGTGTTTGTGAAGCATGAAAGCTACTTTCCCTGCATTTCGAAGCAGAGGAAGCTCTTTTTCGCTGTTTTCACGAGCAGAGGCGTGGCCGTGTGGGAGAATATCCGCTTGCCACGCAAACGACGCAGATTTGATCCCCACTTGAACACAAACAACTCTGGTTCGGTCCCTACTCTGCTCCTGGGTTTTTTATATAAGTTATTCGTTTTATTTCGATCACAAATAAAGTGATGATTTCTAATTCACAACCAACGACGCTGCCACCAACGCCGACGCCGGAATTTATGCGAGACGAGCTCTTGAACACTATCGCGTTAAAACTTCGCCCCACGCCACCGCACGGTGAAGATGAATTTGCTCATGGCCAGGCCCGTAGCCAGATGGAGTGCCTTGGCCCCTCCTCCACCCCGCACGCGCCCCCGGAATTGGAAGGAGTAGGGGTGCTTACCGAAAATAGGTAATGAAAATAGGGGTTTCTCTCAAATAGTCAATCCCTTCAGCAAAGTCACAACCCCAGCCTTACCCAACTGTAAAGCAAATCCTAGCTATACGGGCCAGTGCTCACAGCTATTCGCTGCAGTATATCTTAGATGAATCCTTAAGCGCTTTTCGAACGAAGTCCAAACACGTCGCAAATCTATAACCAGGTATCTTGTAAAATGTATGCTAAACTCAAAAGAGTGGCTACTTGGGCTGGTTGTTAATGCATTTTTGAAAGAAATACACTTTCTTGGTGCGCAGGAAACATTTTAGGAAGAAGACAGATAGGACAGAGCACACACTTACAACCAGGTTGTAAGTGTGTGCTCTGTCTTATCTGTCTTTTGCCTAAAAACGTTCCCTGCGCACTAATAAAGTGTAATTATTTCAAAAAGGTTCGCTAAATATTGTAGCCCACTGCACGTAGCAGAGAATTCAAAACTTCACCTAAAGAGCCACCAAATTCGATAGCTCTCTTCGACAATGTCGCCATCAGATGTACGTACCGAGCGGGAGCAATCGGGCGCGGCCTGCTGCGATTGGCTGCAGTGTTGCGGTGTTGCCACTCCGGCATTGGAATGACTCCGGAATCATTCCACATTTTCGCGACCCTGGAGTAGAATAGGAATGGAATTAGGCGTATTTTGCGCGGAAGTGAATGGGAATGGATTTACGTCTTTTTCCAAAAATAGAACATGTTTTCATCTACGAGCTGTTTTTCAGACTTCGAACATTAGATAGTCAGAGCCTTGAATTTCACCAATAAAGCAGTATTTTTTAACTGACTTGGCTGACAAACAAACACGTTATGTTCATAAGCAACGTGCCTACTGTGATCCTATGCTTATGTAGACTGAGTAGCTCCGAAGTATGTCTTTATATTTAGCTTAACCGTGACTTAATGCCAGTGTTGTATACGTTATTCTAGAGAAATACCTGAAGGCGGGTTCCTCGTTCCTTCTCAATACTGGAACAATTTCTCATTACCAGTTCCTTCATGGCGAATTAAACTCCCTGCAGTTAATTTTTAACATCGTAACCAGTTGCATCAGCGTTACATCTTTTAATCAAAACATAGTGACGGATAATCTTGTGACGGAATAAACTAAACATTTCAAAGCTCACATCAAGTACATATATTATGCAAAGTAGACATCACCGACCACAGCTTGCATGCACAGACAAGGAATATAAAAAAAAGAAACCTCCTGGAAGAATTTTTTCAGACTGCCGTCCCTACTACGGGCATGTATCACTGCAACATTCGTACTAGCTAGTCTTATACAAGTTCTACAGATGAGCCACTTTCTCCGTCGGTCTTCAAATGCGTATTCTGGATACTGCGCTTCGGGTTTGCAAATGGAAATCTCTGCACATGCACCAACATATTCTTGCCCAGCAAATTGCATTGAAAAGAACGGTACTCACGCGCATAATGTTTGCCGATTCAATACGAGCACATCTGCAGTATGACTAAAAAATAATGTCCACGATACACATTTGCAACCTATTTAAGTCCCCTGTTCATAGTCAGCGAACATGTTTCTGTATAATTGTCTATGTCTTTGTATCTCTTTCTCTTTTTTTCTTTCATTCTTTTTCTATACTGCTTTCTATCTCATTCTCTCTTTCTCTCTCCTCCCTTTATGCTCATCTTCCCCTCCCCCTCACACCCTTCTCCCACCAACTTGCCATACTCCATCATAGGCGTGCACAGGCTTCTACTTTAGGGCTGGTGAAAATTCGTTGCAGTGCCCCCCCCCCCTCCCTCATCCTCTCTATTATTTAAATGTATAGGTATGGACACTGACTTTGCGTACTCCCCTCGAGTCGAAGTGCCATCTTCTCTACTATGTCACAGTCTGACTTTGCACCCCCCCCCCCCCCCGGTGATTAGGGGGGCTTCCCCTCCCTCCCCACCGTGTGCTTGCCTATGTCTCCTTTACAAGGCAATGTTTTGCTCTGCTAGTGCGCGTGCATGTAGCAGAGAAATCGAGAGCGAATAATTTTCTCAATATCCCATTTCGTTAAGATGGTTACTCAGCTAGAAGACCTGCAAAGTCAGCCAGAATGTTATACTGCATTGGTGAGGTGTTTATCTTTACCGCCGTTCTAGTGTATACTTGAAAAATGTCCATGCTTGCTGTATTCGCTCACGAGTTGAATGCTGATGTTCCGTGTTTTCGTCTCTGTTCTCTTTACAACCTTCATTGCCCCACCCTTGCACAGGGTACCAAAACTTGTTACTCCTACCAGGCTAACCTTCCTGCGTTTTCCTTTTCATCTATTTCTCTCTCTCATCTTGTGTTTCAGCATTGTTTCGCAATACGAGCAGAATGAACACATGTGTTCTCTTTTAGTTTTAAATTCTTCGAAGTGTCATGCCTATGTTGAAAAATACAGCGAAAAAAAAACTTGATAGCCAAGTTGCTATGATTCTTGCCTTCGGATTACGAGTTTGAATCTTACCTAACGGAAAACCTTAATGACCAAGAGTTTATTATTATACCCTATGTATTTATTTATTTATTTTTAATTATTTATTTATTATTTGCTGATTTATTTTGTTTGTTTATTTATTTATCTATACACCCAAGGGCCTATTCGAGAGTTACATACAAAAAAAATATTTACACAGAACATGAAAAATAAAAAGGTAAATGCAAAAATCACGAGACGTTCGCGTCAAAGAAAGCATAATTATGCAATGCAGCACTCTGTGAGGCATGAAACAAGGTATGCAATAACTCATGTAATATTGACAATGGACTACACAAATCAAAGCTACAAAATGTTACATTTACACATTTCACATCTCCTTTAATTTGCTAACAAATATGTCGTGATCACGCACAGTTACATCATCTTTTGGCAGTTTATTTTAATGATAAATTGGAAGAAACAATTGTGAGTCATGAAGGAAGTTAGTTCTATGAAAATGGGTTGTATTTCGTGAGCATGATCCAGGTGAAAAATGCGATGCTAGTTTATACTGTGAATATAAGAAGAATGGATCACTGAAATAAATCCTGCGGAAATCAGACAGCAGTGCGATAGGTCTACGCTTTTCTGGAGTAGGCAATGTCAACCACGTTTTAATAGCAGTTATGCTATATACCGAGCAATATTTTCCTGTGATAAAACGGGCTGCTTTGTTTTGAATGGTCGCATGTTTATGGATAATGTATTATTGGTGAGGATTCCAAATAAAGGAGGCGTATTCCTGTTTTCGAACTAACTAAAGTTCTGGATGCGAGAAGTTTGGTGGACTGGCTAACAGAGGGCAAATTACGTTTAATGAATCCCAGAGGATTCATTGAACGATTAATGAATAAACGTATAATGAATCCTATAATTACGTTTAATGAATCCTGGTTATTGCCTCAACATGATCATTCGATGAGAGGTTGTGTGCAAGATGAACGCCTTATTTTATTGTGGTTATATTATCGACTAGCCTATCGTTAAGCATGTAAGAATGCAGCTCATGTTTCACAGTTCTCGTAAATTGACTGTACTTTGTTTTTAAGACATTAATTTCCATTTGCCATTGATAACTTCAGCGGGTGATTTGGTTTATGTCAGACTGCAGCGCACTCACATCAATATGGTCAGTCATTTGTCTGTAAATTACACAGTCACCTGTGTCACAAAAATCTGATTGGTTACGACAATTGGTTACTTATATCACTGGCGTAAATTAAGAATAGGATTGGTCCTAACACGGTAGCTTGCGGAACTCCTGATTTTATCCTTTGCTAATGGAGACAAAGTATTATTAACACAAACAGACTGATAGCTATCAAACGAAAAATTCGCAATTCATTTATAGATATTACGGGTGATGTTCAGGGCGCTAAGTTTCATATTTAGGCGGTTATGGGGGACCTTTTGGAAGACTTAGGTGAGGTCTATAAATAGAGCATAAACGTCTGTTTTATTGTGTATCGCTTCGCGAATATCAGTTATTATTTCGAATACTTGAGCTTCAAATGAAAGGCCGTGCTGGAAACCATGCTGATTTCGTAAGAACTTGATCGCGGTAAGATATGTCATAACTGTAGATGATATAATGTGCTCTAAAAGTTCACGTTGTATGCTTGTTAGTGAAATCGGTCTACAGTTACAAAGCATAAAGGGTCACCTGATTTAAGATTAGGAGTGACGTAAACAATTTTTCAGGTGCCCGATACATGATTACTATCAATATGTTGGTGAAAAAGAGCAGCTAGAATGTGAGAAATTACAGGCTTTTTTTTAGCATTTTGGCGCATATGCCGTCCAGCTGGAGGTTGGATTATTTGGGAGCCTTTTAATGGCTCATTTTATACCTTCGTGTAAAATATTTAAATCGTCCATGAACAACTCAAGAGTCGGGAAGTTAAGGTAGGACGGTATTGGATTTTCATCTGCCCCGCCGCGGTGGTTTAGTGGCTAAGGTACTCGGCTGCTGACCCGCAGGTCGCAGGTTCAAATCCCGACTGCGGCGGCTGCATTTCCGATGGAGGCGGAAATGTTGTAGGCCCGTGTGCTCAGATTTGGGTGCACGTTAAAGAACCCCAGGTGGTCGAAATTTCCGGAGCCCTCCACTACGGCGTCTCTCATAATCATATGGTGGTTTTGGGACGCTAAACCCCACAAATCAATCAATCATTGGATTTTCATCTGTAAAAACTTGACCAAAAAATCATTTAGTTTCGTTGCAACACATGATGGGAAAAGTACATCATCTTTGGAAATCGACACTTGTGATGACGAAGACGGTTTGGGGTTAATTAGCACACACAATTTTGTGTATTTTCTCTTAAGAGCGTCGTGATATCATTGTTAAAGAATTTATATTTGGCTGTTTAGATTTTCGCCATACATTGCTTGGATTGATAAGGGTAACGTTCCCAATTGTTATCAGATTCCGACTGTTTTGCTTTCAAGTAAAATCGTTTTTTTTTTCTTTATGCAGCGTTTGACATGTAAGTTGAACCATGTGCCCTAAGTTGACGCTGTCACTTCAATTTTAGGAACATATTTTTCTCTTAGTTCAGTTACCTGCATCCGCACGAGATGCCAGTTTTCATTAGTTGTGCGCAGCGACCAAGTGTGCGAAAACTCCAATGAAAAAGATGACACCTGAACCATAATCATATCAACACTAGCCCGCGTGTAGCTGTAGATTATTTTCCTTGGATTTTCTGGCATTTTGTTATCTAAAGTATATTCACAATGAAGCCCATTGTGATCACTGGTATTGTCTAAAACATTGACAAGTACATGATCAGGTTCGGTAATCAATACAAGCTCTTATATAGCATCCCCACGAGTTGTTGGCAGTGAAAACATTTGTGTCAGTTTGAACAAGGCTAGCACATAAATAAATTCCTCACAGTCAGTCTGTCGTGTAATGCCTTCGGGTGTACATATCCGCCAGTTCATGCCTGAGTGATTAAAATCATCCGCCAGAAATGCAGTGGACCTGCGATTTAACTGCATTGTTCGAGGTTTAGTGAATTGTTCAGTTTCTTATTTTCACTTTTTTATTTTTCTCTTACCCAGTCTTCAATCCCACCGCCAACTCACTGATGGAATTGATGCAACACGCCCAGATTTT